ACACACACACACACACACACACACACACACACACACACACACACACACACACACACAGACACACACACAAACAGTGTGCAGTCAAAGAACAAGTTCTGTTCATTTCTGATTCTGCACAGTGGCTGGAAAAAATGTTTACCTTACCACCTTGAGAAAATGAAACATCTGTTTCACCGTGCAGCATCTTGGGACACGAGTGCTTTTCTGTCACTTGTATTCCCACGAGTTTCATTGAAATCTGTCTCATGATCCACAAGACATTTTGCTAACAGACCCGGACGACTCTAATACATTAAAAAATCACATCTTGTGTGGAGTATGTGTTGGGAATTACTTTTATTGGATTTCTTTTAAGTCAATATGGACTCTGAAACTATGAAAGCATAAGTCTTCCAGCATTAATTATCGGATCAAATCAGTGAAGCTCGTCCCGCTGTCTCGTTGCATCTGTTAATCTTTATAATTATAGCATCAGCTCTGACCCTCAGCTCCTCTGGCGGTTGTTTGGACGTGTCGCGGCCTGTCAGAGCAACAGGAAGTCATCAGTAAAGCTGTGGCCTCAGATAACGCACTCCATCTCCAGTGTCACTGAGAAAGCCTATCTCTTTCTCCTTCGCTCTATTTATTCTGCCTTCCTCTCCTCTAATTGGCTGCCACTATGAGCAACCAGCTGTCGGACAGGAAGAAAACTCTGATTACAAAGCCCCCTCCTTCTGGTGGAGGATGGAGGATGTGCTGTTTGCCAGGAGGAGCTGAGGAGAGGAGGTTGAGGAAGGGTTTGAGTGGCTGTTTAACGTCCCTCCTCGCATGCTTTTTCTGTCTTCCTCCCATCTTCTCCTCTTCCTCTCTGACTCCACTCGGTCTTCCTCTTCCTCACTCGTCTGCCAAGCTGACGGATAGAAAGCGTCCCTTGATAAACTGTGCGGGGAAACTGAAATGTTTGTCACAGCTGCTCGGTGTTAAAGGATTTGGYGGAGTATTAGGCTGGTGCTCAGCAATATCGCCAGCTTCGCCTGTTTTGCTCTAACTTTACCTCTCATTTCACAAACTTACTAAAGCAAAACATTGCTGGTTTACATTTCCAGTGGTGCTTGGGTTTTAAATCCCAACAGAGTGGAATGTTTATCTGGATGAATGCCTTTAATTGCAACCTTTCAAAGGGGAAAATGCTACCTTTAAAAGTTACCTTGCCATTTAAATTTAAAATCACAGCTGAGACAAAAACAACTTTAGCCATTTGAGTATTCATTACCTGGCAGAGCTTGATTAGGCACTTTGTTTATCTACCCTCGGTGCAGATTATTGTCATTTTTAATCAAGGCGCTGTCAGCGTCTTCTCCCAGAGGTAGCACTTCCTGGATGGATGCAATCATCCGTGGATTGCCTATTTTTGGTGTTTTCTTCAGACAGTGTAGACTATTTTTGTCCCTTTGTGCTGTACATCCAGCCAAAAAAAAAAAAAAAAAAAAACAGACAGCAGGAAAGAGAATGAGAACTGGAGTGTGAAAAACAGACTTTTTTCTTCTTAAGGCTGAATTCAAATAAAGTTTTGAGGATTAATAAATGAACACATGAGCTTGTAAAGCATTTAGACCTGAGTGGTGCTGATCTTCTGCGGCCTGTTTGCTCATGTTGTGGGTCCAGATGAGGTGTTCTGCAGACTTTGGTTGTAACAAGTGGTTATTGGAGCTACTGTTACTTTTCTATCGCTTTCAACCATTCTCCTCTGACATCAAAAAGACGATTTTCTCCACACAGCTCACTGGACATTTCCTCCTGTTCAAACCAGTCTACCTAAAAAGAAAATACAGATGGTTTTGTTTCAGCGTGAAAACCCCAGTAGTTCACCAGTTTCTGAAATAATAAGACAAACACCCTTTCTTTCCCATTTCTGGTGTTCAGTTTGAACTTCAACAAGTTGTTTTTTCACCACACCCAAATGCCTTAATGCACTGAGTTGCTGCCATGTGATTGGCTGATTAGTAGTACAAGGATACAGATACATGATTCGATTTGGTTCCATACTTTCATGCAGTGTTATATAAAGCACCTCAAAGTGATACTTGAGTAAAAGTACAAGTATCTTATCATAAAAATACTTTGGT